TGTATACATAATTTTTTTTTTTTTTGCTTCGCAATTTTCTTTTTTAATGTATTATAGTGATTTAATTGTTTGTTTTAAAAACTTTACAATATTATTTATGTTTGATGTTCTTTCTTTGTGCAGAGGAAGATAGCGGTGAAGGAGATGAGGATAAGGAGAATGCGACTTATTATATATCAAATGAGATACACTTCTCGAATCCGAAAATGGCCTCCTTGGTTTTAACAAAACGTGGGATTGTCGTTGAGGCTGATAAATCCATTCACTCTCAAGTGCGTTTAATCACATTCTCTGATGGGCCACCATACGAGACTCTGCATGCGATGAGTAAAACCATGGCACCCTATTTTAAAAGTTACGTTAAGGAAACGGGTCGCGCTCATAGGGACGGTGACAAGATGGTACCGTTAGTAGAAAAGAAGATTGCGGAACTCGAAATGGGTTTATTGCATTTACAACAGAATATCGATATCCCCGAGATTTCATTACCGGTTCATCCGATCGTCGCACAAGTCATCAAGCAATGCGAGGAGGAAGGTCGCAAGCCGAAAGTTGCCGATTTTGGCGATAAGGTGGAAGATTCGACATTCCTAAATCAATTGCAGAACGGCGTCAACAGATGGATAAAGGAGATCCAGAAGGTGACGAAACTGAATCGTGATCCGGAATCGGGTACGGCGCTTCAAGAGATATCATTCTGGTTGAATCTCGAAAGAGCGTTGCATCGTATCCAGGAGAAACGGGAGAGCATCGAAATCTCTCTGACGCTCGATATACTCAAACATGGCAAGAGATTCCACGCCACGGTGAGTTTCGACACCGACACTGGTTTGAAACAGGCACTAGCCACTGTGAATGACTACAATCCACTGATGAAAGACTTTCCGATCAACGATCTATTATCGGCCACCGAATTGGAAAGGATACGCAGTAGCGTGCAACAGATTTTCATGCACTTGCGAAAGATTCGGAGCACCAAGTATCCGATTCAGAGAGTGCTGAGATTGGTGGAGGCTATCTCGAGGGATTTGGGACAGCAGCTGCTCAAGGTGTTGGGTACACGACGACTGATGCATATCCCGTTCGACGATTTCGAGAAGGTGATGGCTCAATGCTTCGAGGTGTTCACCACTTGGGACGACGAGTATGACAAGCTCACGGGTCTGTTGAGGGACGTCGTGAAGAAGAAACGCGACGAGCACATGAAGATGGTGTGGAGGGTGTTGCCAGCGCATAAGAAGCTGCAATCGAGGATGGAACACATGCGTCGCTTCCGACGGCAACATGAACAGCTGAGAACGGTGATAGTTCGCGTTCTTCGGCCTACAGTTCGTCAAAACAGTAACAGCTCCACGATGGAGAATACTGATAGCGACAATGTGAAAGTGGAATTTGCCTTGGACGCCGCGGACGCTAATGCCATCAGCGAGGTCAACTTAGCGTACGAGAACGTGAAGGAGGTAGATTGTTTGGATATCACCAAGGAAGGACAGGAATCCTGGGACGCTGCAGTGCACAGATACGAGGAGCGTATAGAGCGCGTGGAGGCACGGATCACGGCCCATCTCCGAGATCAATTGGGCACCGCTAAGAACGCGAACGAGATGTTCAGAATATTTTCCAGATTCAACGCTCTCTTTGTACGGCCACATATTCGGGGTGCTATTAGAGAATATCAGACACAACTGATACAGAGAGTCAAAGACGATATTGAAGCGTTGCACGAAAAGTTCAAGGTATCAAATATAAATATGATTTTAATTATTTGTACTTGAAACAAATGAATGCGTTTGTATAACTCTGAAAACTTCTATATAGGTTCAATACGCACAAAGTAAATGCTGCAGGATGAGTATGGTGAGGGATTTGCCGCCTGTTGCTGGATCAATAATATGGGTCAAGCAAATTGATTACCAATTGACAATGTACTTGAAACGTGTCGAGGACGTTTTAGGTAATTTTTAAATTTTTAAATTTTAAAAATTAATTTTCTTTATTTATTAATATATGCGTATCTCTAGGAAAAGGATGGGAGAGTCATATCGAGGGTCAGAAACTCAAAGCCGACGGGGATAGCTTCCGTATGAAGTTATCGACGCAAGAGATCTTCGATGAATGGGCTCGTAAGGTGCAGGCACGAAATCTCGGTGTGACTGGACGTATCTTCACGATCGAAAGTGTACGTTCGAGGACGGGACGCGGCAATGTGTTGAAATTGAAAGTGAATTTCCTTCCCGAGATTATCACGCTGTCCAAAGAAGTGAGAAACTTGAGAAACCTCGGATTCCGCGTTCCTCTGCCTATTGTGAATAAGGCTCATCAGGCTAACCAGTTGTATCCCTTTGCCATCAGCCTCATCGAGAGCATCAGAACTTATGAGAGAACACTGGAGAAGGTAAGATAATAATTGGTAATTATTTTTTAATCCCCACTCATCTAAAAATTAAATATTTCTTATCAAATGGTCGATTTTTTTATATTTTCTGGGTATTTCTATGCAATTATCAGTGTCATATAATGATATATATATAGGCAATTTTTAAAGCTTTAAGAGTCAGAACAAAATGATAGATTATATTAGGATACTAGTGCCAGGTGTGTGTTGAAGATATGATTGTTAGAATAATTGATATCTCTAATTTTTTGGATCTCCAATATTTTTAGCTTACCAATCGGAGTCCCCATTGTCCCGCACTAAAGGTAGTCATACTTGACGCTTCCAGGAATTATGCATCTTGCCTATATATGCAAATACTCTTACTGTCTGCCTGCTTAGCTAGTAGAGAGATTTGTAATGCAAGATAAAAGTTTATTTTCTCGACTGATTTATACATATATTTGACAATCAGTTGTATCAGTTATTTTCAATTACATGTAGGCTTGTACGGATGTGCGGCAGGTCTAAATGGAAAAATCTACAAAAGTCCAAAAAATTGTTTATAAAATTTACAAAATATCCTGAAGGATATATGAGTGAAAATGTAAATGCTAATTAAATTTTGTTTTACATACGAAAATAGAGATACTTACAAATTTATATAATTATAAATCTCATTTTATTAAAGTTAAATGATTTTAAGGCTATCCGCATATCCGGAGGATTGCTTGGAGGCAACATAATATATATAAGAATGTTCCATCTGTCTGATATAAATATCCAACAATTATCATATGACTTTATATTACCTATATTGAATTTTTAAGTATATATATTCTTGAGTTATCGGTATTTATTGAATGATAACTTTATGTTGTAAAACTGTACTGTATATTATTTGCATATTACAAATTTAAAAATATAATTAAATGACTTTTTATTTAGATTGAAGACAAAGCCAGTATTATACCCTTGGTTGCTGGTATGCGTAAAGATGTTCTACAATTGATCTCTGAGGTGAGTTAACAGTATATAAAGTATATATTTTCAATATGTATATTCGTTTTTTTATACTTACATTGCAATTTTTAAAAT